GGCTAAAAGAATTGACAAAATCCTACACACTGTGTCTTTAAATGTAATTAGTTGTGTACATGGAGTCTCTAGGAGTGCAGAAAATATGAATTTAGTTACTCCTGGTGCTGCATAGATATACAGTATTTATATTCTTTTTGGGTCATACTTTTCAACAGGTTCAGTCTTCTCTATTTTCTAATATATGTAAGTGTGTGTGTGGATAAATAAAAGTTTTATGCGCAGCTATTTAGCCGTAAACCCCTCTATCAAACTAGAATGGACCAGTCTGGAAGCTAGRAGGTGGGCGGGGTTTGAAACACCTCATTTGAATTTAAAGAGACAGCCTCAAAACGAGGTGACCTGAGATGCCTCAGAAAAGGGGTGGAGCTTGTGGAGTTACAATAAGGGAGAATTCAGACCAAATCATTGCCGTTYCCCTTTATATAAACCCCAACTGAATTATTTAAATGTCAAAAGAAGGGTTTAAAAATATGATAAGTCTCCTTTAAGCCTTTTCATCYTTTTAGTAGAAATCTTTCATATGAAGCATCAACATTGTTTTGCATGTGTTACAATAGGTTGGGAAAACTTTGTCAAACGGTACAGAATTGTTATGGTAGTTTGAGATCAGATCCGGGACTTSAGAGTGACACAACCAACTCTTATAAAATAAAACTAAAATAAACTTTATCATAAACAAAACAAAAGCTGGTGTGGCAGCAAACTTGCAGAAGTTGTCACAAATAGTCATAAAAAACATCAGAACAAAATTTCCTCTACTGATTTCTGGACTGAACTCTGAGGGCTTAAATAGGCTGAGGCTGATGAGGAAATTAGAAAAACCTGAGCTCAATAAAACAGGTAGCAGGTGAGGACAGGTGTGGCTAGACTGAGGAAATGACAGGAAGGCAATGGAACAACCTAAACACAGAAAAGAACAAMAGAAAAAATTAAACAGAAAACTCAAAATAGAAAACTAAACATTGAAAAGTCGAATTCTTTCAAGTTTACAATGGTGGGCACAGCTAACCAAAATATTTAGCTTCACCAATCACCTAAACAAACATCTCAGCTAATGCTAAATTGCTAAACAGAAAGAAAAATAAGAGGAAGCTAACTCTAATCTCTAACCTCTAACCTCTAAGACAGTTAGGAACTGAAACAAACCTGTTGTTAAATTGATTCTATTGGTTTAATTTGAAGGTGGGTGAGACAATTTGTGGCAAACTCTACTTTAACCCTTTCAGAATAAAAGCATTTATTTGACCGAGTTTGTATTTTTACAAATATTGTTTGAAGATAGCCAATAAATAGCTTTCTCTATCATTTTTATACATAGCAATTTTTATAGGTAATTAAAAAATATTGTTAAACGTTATTTTATTGCTTTTTGACGCTCTTATTTTGACGTTTAGCTGATAAATATGCCGCATGCTAACACACGGCATCTAGCACAGCTTGTGAGAAGGGATAGTTTTTATTTAATTTGGGATGAATGTTAAAACCAGCACCTTGTTCTTCGCTTTGCTTCATACAAATGTCTGGACTCTCGGCTGTAGAGAAGTGATTCTTGCTGGAGGCGTGGCCTCTGTTGAAGTTTAAAATGATTGGATCGATTGGCTGCGACATATGTTTRTGCCAGCTCCACTGTGAAGGAGGCTAAGCTAAGAAGCTAACCGGAAATCGTGTGCTGCTGCTTTGTCAGACAAATTTAATTTAATTTGGAAACCTTATCAACATGGACTGGCTTCATTCACTTCCTCTGCTGCCATTGATAAACTAACTAGCAGACACTGCGCAGAAAATCGACCTTGTTCAAAACCCCGCCTTCTGTTCTCTGATTGGCCCAAACAAAATTATCCTGAAGAAATCCTTCGCT